CTCAACCTGGAAAAATCCTCCAGGATGAAGAAAAAACCCCCAAAAACCAGGAAAGGGGGAGAAAAAAAAAACCAATCGATGGTTTTGGGGTAAAAAATGACAATTTTGGGAACACTCCATTTTCTTTTTTCCACCCAAATTTGTCTTTTCTTTCCACCAAATTGTGTTTTTTTCCCCATTTTTCCATCGATTTTTCCAGCTGGGAAGAAGAAATTTCCCTAAAAGGACAAAAAAAAGGTGCCCCAAGTGGTTTTTTTGGGGGAAAAATACATTTTTTTTTGCTCAAAATGAAGAATTCTTCATAAAATGAATCAGTTATAGACTCATAAAAATGATGAAGAGAAAATTCCTTGGTTTTAATTCTTGTTTTGGGGTGATTGTGGAATTTTGGGGGGGGTTGGAATTGTTTGGCACCTTTTTTGGGGGGATTATTTATTGGAAATACCTTGAATTTTGGGCAAAATGACTGAAAATGACCCAAAAATCCCATTGGTTGGGTTAAGAAATGAATTTCCCTCCAAATAAAGTGAAATTCCCTCCAAATTTCTTCCCCCCCCTTTTTGGGGGGGATTATTTATTGGAAATACCTTGAATTTTGGGCAAAATGACTGAAAATGACCCAAAAATCCCATTGGTTGGGTTAAGAAATGAATTTCCCTCCAAATAAAGTGAAATTCCCTCCAAATTTCTTCCCCCCCAAATAAATTTAATCCCCCCCCAAATAAATGTAATCCCCCCCAAATGAATGGAATTCCCTAAAGTAAATTGAATTTCCCCCAAAATAAATCAAAATCCCCCCCAAACAAATCAAATTTCCCCCAAATAAATTGAATTTCCCCCAAATTTCATCCCCCCAAATAAATTTCTCCCCCCAAATAAATTTAATTCCCCCCAAATAAATGGAATTTCTCCAAATTTAATCCCCCCAATAAACTGAATTGTCCCCAAAATAAACCAAATTTCCCCCAAATAAATAGAATTCACCCCAAATTTAATCCCCCAAATAAGTTTAATTCCCTCAAATTAACTTAATTCCTCCAAATCAAGGGGATTCCAAGATAAATTTAATTGCCCTTAAATGAATTGAATTCTCTAAAATAAGTCAAATTTCCCCCAAATAAATTTAATTCCCCCAAATTAAATTGAATTCCCTAAAATAAACTGAATTTCCCTCAAAATAAATCAAATTTATCCCCAAACAAACCAAATTCCCCCTAAAATCAATTGAATTTCCCCTAAAATCAATCAAATTTGTCTCAAAATAAGTTGAATTCCCCCAAATTAAATTGAATTCCCCATAAAATAAATTGAATTCCCCTCAAAATAAATAAAATTTATCCCCAAATAAACCAAATTCCCCTTTAAATAAACTGAATTTCACCTAAAATAAATCAAATTTCCCCAAAAATCAATTGAATTTCCCCAAATTAAATTGAATTCCCCAAAAAGAAATTAAATTCCCTAAAATAAATTGAATTTCCCTCAAAATAAATCAAATTTATCCCCAAATAAACCAAATTTCCCCCAAATCAATTGAATTTTCCCTAAAATCAATCAAATTCCCCTCAAAATAAATCAAATTTATCCCCAAACAAACCAAATTCCCCCTAAAATCAATTGAATTTTCCCTAAAATCAATCAAATTCCCCTCAAAATAAATCAAATTTCCCCCAAATCAATTGACTTTTCCCTAAAATCAATCAAATTCCCCTCAAAATAAATCAAATTTCCCCCAAATCAATTGACTTTTCCCTAAAATCAATCAAATTCCCCTCAAAATAAATCAAATTTCCCCCAAATCAATTGACTTTTCCCTAAAATCAATCAAATTCCCCTCAAAATAAATCAAATTTCCCCCAAATCAATTGACTTTTCCCTAAAATCAATCAAATTCCCCTCAAAATAAATCAAATTTATCCCCAAATAAACCAAATTCCCCTTAAAATAAATTGAATTTCACCTAAAATAAATCAAATTTCCCCCAAAATCAATTGAATTCCCCAAAATTAAATCAAATTCCCACCAAAATCAATTTAATCCCCCCCTCCCAATAAATCCAATTCCCCCCAATAACTGGAATTCCCTCCCCAAAATGACTCAAATTCCCAACCCTGGGTCGGGGTGGGATTTTTGGGTGGTTTTTGCCTCTTTTCTGTATTTTGGGTTTTTTTGGGGGGTAAATGTAGGGTTTTATTGGGTTTTTGGGGGTTTTCTGGGGGGGTTTGGGTTTTTTCTGGGGGTTTTTGGGGTTTTTTTTGAGGGATTTGGGGGCGGTTTTGAGGGATTTGGGGGCTTTTTTTGCGGGATCTGGGTCTTTTTTGAGGGATTTGGGGTTTTTTTTGAGGGATTTGGGGGGTTTTGAGGGATTTGGGGGTTTTTTTGGAGGGCGTTTTTGAGGGCTTTGGGGTCTTTGTCGCCCCCTACTGGCAGAAAGGAGAAGCAGTGGGATCGAATCCCTTGAAAACGTCCTTGAGCGACGCGGAATCTTGTTGGTCGCCATCCCGGGCCGGGCTGTTCCCGGCGAAGGGACTTCCCGATCCCGACTTGGAACTTTGTTTGACCATCCCATAAACGGGTGGTACCGGCAGGTTATGGACACCAGGTTGAGGGTTGGATTCTTGGGAAGTTCCAGCAGATGATGATTTGGGTCGTGGTCTATTGTAGCTGTTGTATCTGTCCGTGGTGGATTCGACGTTGGGTTTCTCGGATTCGGGTTGTTCCAAAGCGGAACGACGAACAAAAAGAGGTTCCTTGGGTTTTCCGGTGGTTTTCCCGGAATCGGAGGGTTTGCTGGATTCGTTGGGTGATTCCAGAGGTTTGGTTCCTCCACCAGGAGTCCTGGGATCATATAAACTGATGGCGCTGAGGACGCTGCTCTGGCCGCTCCCCTTGCTCAAACCTCCGGATGCCAAGAGCCGGGGGTCGTAGGGAGCGATGGCGGGAGCGGAATCGCCCCCGGATCCGGGATCAGGAGCTCTGGAAATTCCTGCCTCTGTGGGTTTTTGTAATCTGGGATCGACGGGAACTTTCCGCATCCGGGGGTCGCTGGGTTTGTCGCTGGGGGTGGAAGAGGAGGGACCAGCGGCGTTGACAGTCTTTAAAATCCGGGATAAGAGCTCGAAATCTGGGATACTGGAAGTGGAAGAGGAGCTGGGATCACCTGGGGTCGTTCCCCCCCTTTGCCGGGGATCGGAAAGAGCCGTTTGAGGCCTGTTGAGCCGTGGATCGAGGGTGGGCATGGACTGGAGGGCAGCTGGAACGGGAACAAACTCCTGTTTTGGGATTGGAACTGGAATGAGATCCTCTGGGCTCCAAAGGATCATCCGGGAAAAGTTGGGCTTGTTGAGGACAACGTCCTTCTTGATATGACTGAACTGCTGGAGCTGGGAACGAGGATCCCGCAGGGAATGACCTGGGAGAGCATCCAAAGGGATGTTGATGGGTTTATCCCTTAAAGCTCTTTCCCCTTCCTCCTCCTCGGGAAGCAGGGAGGGTTTGGGTGCCCCCCCGAGGCTGGAATGAGGAATTTCTGGTTTGGGAAGAGAGGCAGGAATGTGTCGCGCTAATCTGGGATCGGTGGGGCCGGAATCGGCGGGAATTTCGGCGTTCCGGGAAAGTCTGGGATCCCGTAAGCGCGGATCAGCGGGACGGGAGTTCCCCCCCATCCCTTGGGATTTTTGGAGCCTGGGGTCGGCGATCCCGGAGGATGATCCGAGGTCTCCATGGGATGGTTGGGAATGGCGGGAGGAGCTTTGTTGGCGGAGGGTTTTCAAGATGGAAGAGACGCTGCTTCCGCCGTCGTCCTCGTCGCTGGAATACCAGTTCCCGGGGTCCCCTGGGAGGAGGTGGAAAAATCAGGGAGTTCTAGGTCATCCAGGGAGATCAAGGTCATTCAAGCAGAGGCGAGGTGGGAGGTCAACCAGGAGGTCTCCAAAACGTCCCCAATTCAACCCAAATTCCCACCACGCCAACAAGAAGCTCCCCAAAATGTCTAAATTCCACCCAAATTCCCATGAATGCAACAAAAAGGATCCCAAACTGTCCCAAATGCCATCCAAATTCCCACCATTCCAACAAGGAGCTCTCAAAAATGTCCCCAATTCCACCCAAATTCCCACCACGCCAACAAGGTCCCCAAAATATCCAAATTCCACCCAAATTCCCACAAAGCCAACAAGGAGGATCCAAAAAATGTCCCCAACTTGGCTCAAATTCCCACCATGCCAACAAGAAGCTCCCCAAAATGTCCAAATTCCACCCAAATTCCCATGAATCCAACAAAAAGGATCCCAAACTGTCCCCAATTCCACCCAAATTCCCACCATTCCAACAAGAAGCTCCCCAAAATGTCCCCAATTCTGCTAAAATTCCCATGAATCCAACAAGGAGGATGCAAAAATGTCCCAAACAAATCAAATTCCCACCCAAATCAATGGAATTCCCCCAAATCAATGGAATTCCCCCAAATCAATGGAATTGCCCCCAAACTGGAATACCCCTAAAATCTATGGAATTGCCCCCAAATCACTGGAATTCCACCCAAACCAATGGACTTCCCCCCCAAATTGGAACTGCCCCCAAATCAATGGAATTGCCCCCAAATCAATGGAATTGCCCCAAATCAATGGAATTGCCCCCAAACTGGAATACCCCTAAAATCTATGGAATTGCTCCCAAATCACTGGAATTCCCCCCACATCAATGGAATTCCCCCAAATCACCAGAACTGCCCCCAAATAACCCGCAAATGAAGCCGATCCAAATGATCCCCTCCCCCCACCCATGGATTTGAGTGGAAAAAGTGGGAATTTTGCCACTTGCCTTCCTCATGTTCCCGTTCCTGCTTGTTGTTCTCGGCCAATCTCCGGGCTCTTTCCTCCTCCTCCTGCTGCTTCTGCTGGATCCTCAGGTAAAGGGCCCGTTGTGCCGAGGGCAGGAAATCGGGAATGTTGCCCGGAGCCTTTGGCAAACCAGGAGGACCTTCACACAAGGCCTCAGGATCCAGGGAAGGATCAGGGAACATGTGCTCTCCAGGAGGACCTTCCATGTCCTCATAATCTCTGTAGTCGTCTAGGAAGGGAGGGAAAGAAAATGAGGCAAAAGTCTCCAAAGTTGGGAAAAAGAACCCGATGAACTCATGGATCCAGGTCCCTCAGCCCATGGATCCAGGTCCCTCAGCCCAAGGATCCAGTTCCCTCAGCCCAAGGATCCAGGTCTCTCAGCCCATGGATCCAGGTCCCTCAGCCCAAGGATCCAGTTCCCTCAGCCCAAGGATCCAGGTCTCTCAGCCATGGATCCAGTTCCCTCAGCCCAAGGATCCAGTTCCCTCAGCCCAAGGATCCAGTTCCCTCAGCCCAAGGATCCAGGTCTCTCAGCCCATGGATCCAGTTCCCTCAGCCCATGGATCCAGGTCCCTCAGCCCAAGGATCCAGTTCCCTCAGCCCATGGATCCAGTTCCCTCAGCCCACAGATCCAGCCCGCCCTCAGCCCATGGATCCAGGTCCCTCAGCCCACAGATCCAGCCCGTCCAGGTCCATTTCACCTTCTGGATTAAACCATCCAGCCAATCCCTTCTCCACCCCAAAGTCCACCCAGCAAACTCACATACCTGGATCTCCCATCATTCCATGATCCATGTCCAGACCTTCCTGCTGCTGGTAGAAGTTGTCATAAAAGCCTTGAGGCGGAGGGCCGGGCGGGATCATGCCGGAATGGGGGGAATCATCCGGACCGTAGGGCATCATGGGAGGTCCAGGACCCATTGGAGGACCAGGATTCATTCCTGGTCCCATCGGCATGTCGGGGTGCATGTCGGGGTGCATGTCGGGGTGCATGTCGGGGTGCATGTCGGGGTGCATGTCGGGGTGCATGTCAGGGTGCATATCCGGGTGCATGTCGGGGTGCATGTCAGGGTGCATGTCGGGGTGCATGGGGCCTGGCATTGGACCTGGGGGTCCTCCAGGCCCAGGAAATCTGGGTGGGGGAGGACCCGGGTGCCTGGAAAAGAGACAAAATTCCCTTTCAATTCCCAACCTCTGCTTCCCAAGGGATGAATTTGGGCTAATCCCCCCCAAAATGGGAAGAAATATGATTTTCCAGGTGTTTTCACCCCCCATTAGTGGCCGTTTCAGGGCTCTGAGCCCCAAAATTCCCTCCCTCTTCCCATTTCCCTGGTGCCACCCACCTGACTCCCAACTTTTCTGCCAGTTGTCCCGTGGGTCGGACGACGATCTCGAAGAGGGAGGGGATTTTTTTGTACATGTCCTGCTGCTGAGGGGACAGTGGCTCGTGCATGGGTGGTGGCATCTGTGGCCCCGGGGGTGGGAGAGGAGGAGGAGGAGGTGGAGGAGGACCTCCAGGAATGGGTCTTCCATTGGGAGAGTTTGGAGCTGGTGGACCAGGAGGACGAGGAGGTGTGGGAAGCAAACCCACGCCGGGAGGTGGTTTGGGAAGAGGGTTGATTCCTTGTTTCTTCAGCTCTTCCACTTCTTTCTCATCCTCTGCACCCGCTTCCGCGTCGTCCGCCAGCATCTGAGGAGGTCAAAGGGATTGAGGATGGATCCGTGGAGCTCTGGAGATCTTCTAGATCCATCCCTCCTACCCACAGGGACACCTCCCACCAGCCCAGGTTGCTTCAAGCCCCATCAAACCTTGCCTGGAGCACCTCCAGCATCTACAGCTTAGAGAATCATGGGATGGTTTGGGTTGAAGGGACCTTGAAGATCATCTAGATCCAACCCCCCTGCAAGGGCAGGGACACCTCCCACTGCTGCTCCAACCCCCCTCCAACCTGGCCTTGGACACTTCCAGGGATGGGGCAGCCACAGCTTCCCTGGGCAACCTGGGCCAGGGTCTCACCACCCTCATGGTGAAGAATTTCCTTCTCATGTGCAACCTTAATCCCCCTCTTCCAGGTTCAATCCATTCCCCTTGGCCCAAGTCCCTCCCCAGCTTTCCTGGAGCCCCTTCAGGCACTGGAAGGTGCTCTAAGGTTTCCCTGGAGCCTTCTCTTCTCCAGGCTGAACACCCCAACTCTCCCAGCCCTTGCATGATCTCCATGGCCTCTTCTCAACCCTCTCCACCAGCTCCATGTCCATCTGGTGTTGGGGGCTCCAGAATTGGCCCCAGTTCTCCAGCTGTGGCCTCCCCAGGGGAAAGCAGAGGGGGAGAAGAACCTCCCTGACCTCCTGGCCATGCTCTTATGCACCCCAGGATTCCATTGGCCTTCTTGGCCAGCAGGGTCATTCCTGGCTCATGGATTGTTTCCTGTATACCAGGACTCCCAGATCCTTCTCCACAAAGCTGCTCTCCACCCCCAAAATCTCCAGCTCCATGAAATTCTTCCTCCCCAGGTGCAAGACTCTACACTTGCCCTTGTGGAACCTCATGAGGTTCCTCTCTGCCCAGCTCTCCAGCTTGTAACTGGATGGATCCTCTACTCCAAATAAAATCATGGAATGGTTTGGGTTGGAAAACATCTTGGAGAAAAGAAAACCTACCCATGGATTTATTTACCTTATCCAGAAGCTCCCGGGTCTCCTCAGTGAGTGGATCGTGGGAGAACATGCAGTCATCCCCGTTGATGCAGTTGCCTGTGGTGTGGAACAGCTTGCAAGGGAAATCCCGTATGGATAATTAAGGAAAATCAACCTGGACTGGGAATTATTCCCACAGCCAGAGGGGACAGAAACACTTTTCACCCCCAAATCCCCCCATTTCCTCCCCATGTCGGCGTGATGGCCGCAAACCTCGTTCTATTCCAAGAGGAACTGGGAGAGTTCCATCCCATGGCTGGAAGATGTGGGACCCAGGAATGGAATTTTTGACCCCCCTGGCCCCTCGAAGTGGAGGAAATGAGGCTGATTAGATTCAAGGGTTAATGAGGGGCTGAGAATCCAAGGATATCGTGCATGTAGGGGCAGTTTTCTGCCCGGGCGCAGTAGCCAGTGATGTAGAACTTGCAGAGTTCCCGCTTCTTTGGGAGTTCGATGTCGTGGCTGAAGTTGCAGTGATCCCCCTGTGGAGAAAGTAGGGAAGCATGTCCCAAAATTCCCTTTAAAGGCATGAATCCCACCCTGAGATCCCTCAAAACCTGGAGACCTTCGCCTCAGGGATGGAGTCTCTTCCCATAATTCCCTTCACAGGCACAAACCCCACCCTGAGATCCTTCAAAACCTGGAGACCTTCACCTCAGGGATGGAGCCTCTTCCCAAAATTTCCAGTTCCACACATGAACCAAGAGACTTATGGGAATGTTCTGGGATTCTGGGATTATTCCTTACCCAGGTACATCTGCCTTCCACAAAATATTTGCAGATCACTTTCCCTTTCTTATCCGACTGCTGGTGGGGTTTGTCGTGGTCGTTGCGCCGGTAATTCCCACCACCTCCTCCATCCTACGGGAAGGACACTGTTAGATGCCAAAGGATGGGAATTCCAAAGGAATGGGGAGAAATAAGAACTTCCCATGGAGCCACCTCCCAGAGGGGACAAGGTCTGGGGTGGAAAAGAGCAGGAAAAAGCCCTGAATGTGGCTTGAGGAACCTGCCAGTGGATGAGAATCCAAGAACCCAAGATATCCCACCTGGATGGGACAATTTTTCAGGATCCTGAGGAAAATCCCTTTGGTTTTTTGGTGCCAACAAAGGTTTTCCAAAAATCTGGCCCCTAAAGAGCCTCTTTTAAGCCCAAAATAATGACTTTTGAGCCCAAAGTGGCCCCAAAAAGCAAATTTTGGGCACAAAATGGCTCCAAAATAGCAAATTTTGAGCACAAAGTGGCTCCAAACCAGCAAATTTTGACCCAAAGTGGCCCCAAAATAGCAAATTTTGAGCACAAAATGGCCTGTTGTTTTCACAGAGGGAAGGGGAGGAAGGGCTGCCCAGGCCAGGGGGAACCCAAGATCTACTCACCCCCATGTCCTCGTCGTAGTAGTCGTCGTCATCGTTCATCCCGCCCTTCCCCATCCCGCTCCTGTTCCCGCCTCTTCCGCGGCCTCGGCCCATCCCTTTATTCCCTCTTCCTCTGGGGCCACGGCCACGTCCTCGGTTCAAGCCTGAAAACACAGCCCCACATTCCCAACTCTTCTCCTTCCATCAGAAGCAGGAGGGGAGGGGAGGTGGGGACCAGACTCACCCCGCCCGCGGTTCTCCTTGCTCCTCCGGTACTGGTTCAGCTCCTTGGAGTAGTCGTCGTAGTCGTCGTCGCACATGGGCTCCTCGTTATCACAGTACTGCTAACGAGGGGCTTTCATGAGCTGAGAGGAAGCCTGGCCCCACCAACCACCAGCATCCATCATCCTCAACCAGCATCAACCACCACCATCAACCAGCATCAACCATCACCAACACCCACCACCACCATCAACTATCACCATCAACCATCAGAATCAACCACCACCGTCAACCACCAACAACCATCAGAATCAACCACCACCCACCACCCTCAACCATCACCACAATGGTCCCCCCCACCCTATCACCAACACCCACCACCACCATCAACTATCACCATCAACCATCAGAATCAACCACCACCATCAGCCACCATTAACCATCACGCACCACAACCCTCAACCATCACCCTCAACCATCAACCACCACCATCACCCACCACCCTCAACCATCATCATCAACCACCACAGACCACCATCAATCCCCATCAACTATCACCATCAACCATCAGAGTCAACCATCATCCACCACTATCACCCACCACCATCAACCAGCACCCACCACAACTCCCAACCACCAACAACCATCAGAATCAACCACCACCCTCAACTACCATCACCCATCACCCACCACCCTCAACCACCACTCTCAACCATCACCCTCAACCACCACCATCACCCACCACCCTCAACCATCACCCTCC